GCGTCAAAGAGCCTAAACCGTATTACACTGTATCAACAAGTCGCTGAGCGAACAAAATGCTTACTAGGGACCGGCTTCAACACGTTGCCGATTAGCACGTCGACGACCACTTGGTAGAACTGGAAGTCCATCGTCTGTATGTAGTTTTGGACGGCTTCCAACGTGCAAAGACTGTACAACTGAGATTGCGACAACCTCCCCGCCGACGAACGAAGAAGCACGCCGCTACTGAAACACCGAAAACACCGGTATAAAATAACGAATCGGTTGAGTAGAACATCGAATATTATGTACAACGAAATTTTTTCATTCGGAGTTTTGCGAACTGGTATGATCTAGTAACAATCGTCTGCTATGTAAATTAATCACAGTTGCTCAATCGGTAGAGCGTCTCAAATTTCGACAGTTTAAAAGCTAAAATTTGATTCAAAACAAGTTACCCCTGTGTAAGCCCTATAGTCTTTCAAATTCTCTTTTCTGTATGACTGCTGATCACCATGGTTCGCCCGAAACTCCAAAAGTTTTGCAGTTTATTAATTGCTTAGTAAATTCGACTTGATATATTTTTTAATTTACAGTTGCATTTTGTAATTTATTTTAGTCAGCTGTCAGAATTGAGAGGTCCTGGGTTTGAGCTCTGGTCTGGTTACTCAGCTTTCTTCTTTCTGAGGTTAATAAATAAGTATCACGTGGTGATAAGGAAATCGGAAACTACATATAGCTGGTGTCGACTCTACCTTTAAAATATTTAGGAACTATTGGCTGAAATAATGGAAAAAGAGATCAGCACCCCAACATTAACTTACTGAAAATAAGATGCCAGAAATGGCCAGATCATGAAAGCGTAAAAAGCCGATATTTCAATGGTTGCAAGCTTTCTTTTTTTCTTTCCTCTTATAAATTAAACGGTGCCAGGGCAGAAGTAAACAACTTCTCAGAAGCTACACTCAAGTGGTGTGAAAATAAAGAGTGAATATGTGTGGAAGGATTAAGGACAACCGATGATAGTGATTCTCAAACGGAGATGTCTACGCTTTAGACAAAGGATGCCGTTTGATTTTAATGGCTGTTTAAATATTCAAACACGTTATACGTTATTACAGTCGGTAAGACCATGATTTAAGACAAAGCAACTTTCATTGAATAATCACCTGTCTTCTTCGTCATTCAAACATTCGTGTGTTTCGTCCATTTGCCAAAAGTGGCGCCAAATGTCGTCGACGGCATTAAAGTTGAGATTTTTAACCATCTCCAAAATTTCCTAAATTTCGTTCATTTGATCCATAAATGAAAGCATTAGCGCTAACCGACCTCGCAGTTTCGTCGGTACTCTTTGAAGAACTTCTCCACGATCTCAAAGCTGAGGCCCAGATGCTCGATTTCCGGTTTTTGTGGACAAGGGGGTATGATTTCCGGTATGTAGCCGTTGCCCAAACACTGTCTATGGCATTCTGGAACAACGATCGACGAAACGGCCGTCGCTGCTTCTTCGCGGCTTTCGTTCACAAGTTTTCCTTTGGTCATTTCCTCACGCTGCTCGGAACCGGTCTCAGAGCAGGGTTCAACCGACGAAGAACTGTTGCCTGTGCACACCTTCCTCCTAGAAACTATGGCGACGTAAAAATTAGCCGATTTGTGAGAGAGAGAAAAAAACTATGGACTTTTTGGCGGAGGTCAACTGTTGCCTCAGTACGGCGTTCATGTTCTCTGTACTGTAGCGGTTCCAAGGCGAGTTCGGTTTGATACGAATTCCATAGTAATGATACTTTGAATTACCTCTGAAACATAAGGCCAAATCATTTTTATTCGTTAATATGTGCATGGTAACATAGGTGAGCAAAACAGTACCTGGTGCCGAGTCTCCTCGTTCGTAAACCAAGAAAAACGGACCGGATCAGCTTGCCGAACGACGCTGCGTTTACAGGATCCAATTTATTTTCGGCGCAGTGCTTTAAATAATGGTCGTAAAGAGTGCACCGGGGCAACGACACTCCTTCTGCTGTTTCGTAGTTTTGAAGCAGCCAGTGAATCTATAAATTCAAGTTCAAGTTGTAATCAGTTTTTATCGTAACATTCGTATTCATGATGACGGATACTCTTCTGATTTTATAATAATATCCAACTGATAAATTATACATTTACTGTGCAATCAACCTAAAAGAATGTGGGCATTCGCATTAATTACAGAAAAAAATGTGAGGCACTGTACCGAGAACGGGATTGAATTTAAAGACTCATCGTCTAGCTTTTTAGCAGGGCGAGGTTACACCTGATGCTGATTATTAAACTAGTCAGTAGCTATCAGGTGGGTTAAAGTGAATTAGAGCCTTAGGGGGCGCTTGCATCAGACAACATGGCCGGGTAATCGCCAACTCCAGTACTGGTGTGATCACACTAGAACACTATGCTATCTTGAATGTTCACAGGTCAACAATTTACCGCTCGTTTCTCGGCTGGTAGTACCAAGGCAACGTAGAGAAAGTTTACAGCTAGGAACACTTCAGATTAAATTTAAATGTACGTTTACACCTTGCACTGATTTCTAGTCAACTACAAAGTGGGTCGAAGGTAAACTCAGTCAGCCGTAAGGCACCCGCATCAAACATGATGGTCGTTTTTTAGCACGCTTTGGCATGACTACAGCGGAGCACTTTGTTGACACTATTATTTGCAGGTTCAATGACCTGCTATCCGTTTCAAGACTAGTTGCACCGAAGCAAGGTGGGTTAAATTTCTTGCTTAAGGGAACTGACAATTAATAAGAGAAAATTTTCATGGTACGTTCGGTTTGAACCGGATAGCCTTAAAATGCAAAGCAAACTAATAGATCATTGCGCCATTGCCCCTTCATCCACCCAACTTAAACGAGGTGAAAAACATTCGTGTTTTGTTTATGTGTAGGTACGTAAAAAGCGCAGAGCCCTTACCGTAGCAGGGGATGCTCTTGTTGTGTGACTCAGCTGTCGAGAAGGTGACGAATCGCTTTCAGTGGCTGAAGGTGTTTGTTGCTGAACATCGTTAGATTGAACGACGTAAGTTGATACCGGCGATGCGACGTCTGAACGGTAAGTCACCTAAATTAAGATAAAAATACTTTCTGTGCTGAGTAAAATGCAGTAATGATTTAAAGTGGGAGTTTATTGCTTGAGTGGGATCGCCAAACGGTTCCATTATTGAAAAGAAAATCGAAATAAAAAACTTAAGACAATGGACATATCATAAGTAACGTATAATTCCTTCAAAATCAGATTTAACGCCGCGTTGTACCGTCTCCTGGCTCCTAGTTACCTTCGTGGGGAGGGGTGATGAGGGAGCATCGGTGTTTCAGGACTCCTATCGCATCGACATATATATCACAAAAAATAATTGCTTAGAGCAAATAAAAGTTATCAGTGAACAAAGAATATCGGTGAAACAAGTAGAGAACTAAGAAGACCGTCACATTCATGGATTTTTGTTTAACGTCAGTGGGACTGCGTAGAACGATCGCTGAAGCTGGGATTATAGGTCTTCGATACCGCTCCATTTCGGCAATAAAATGACATACCTAAATCGCGTTGATGAAATTCGTAGCAGACATCGCGAGTGTGGATGAGTGCGATTATGTAGGATGTTTTTAAACACGCGAGTGCCGTGAATGACCGCTAAGTCAACCAAGGTCATAGTGTGAAACACGGCATATTTGTGGCTTTGTCTCAGTGACTGCCACAACGCTTTGAAGTCGTACGTCAGCATGCATGGAAAGATGACTCATTATGCATATGTATAAAGTGGCAGAACACATGCAAAGAAATTTTCTACTG